AAGGTTTTGGATAGAGACCTCCGCAAGAGGGAAACGAAATTGTTTTGGTACGTGTTATGCCGCACACACCGCTAGCATGTTCACGAGCAGGCGCTCGAGGCGCCCGCCGATGCTGCAGCCACCGAAAGCCGCCGATACCGTCACTGCCACATCCCCACTGAGGGGAGGACAATCCAAAGCAGCCTCCCCTGCCGCTGCTACAGCCTCCGCTGCCGCCGCCAGGCCCGCCAGCCGCGCCACGGCGGTGATTAGGCGTACGGCAAGTTGCTGCTCACAGTGCTGTACCAATGTAGACAGTACATCGGCGGCGGCGATGGATAGTAGCGGATGGGTGCTGGCACCTGCGGGAAAGGTTGACCCGTGGGTCAGTTTTATTGGGTATGTTCCGAAAAAGACGACGACCGCAAAAGATTCAACGCATGGGGATCTGTGAACACGAGCATCGCGATGTAGCCTAAGAACCCTAGGGATTTCCTAACTAAGGTGTGTAATAGAGACTCTCACTCCCCCGTCCCTAAGACCCAGTTAACGTAAGTTAAGGAGTTTTACAGACGACCATGGCTCACCCTTTCCGAAGTGACCGCCCCCTCGGCTATGACCCCCACCCTAATGCGCCCAACAACCCCGACAGTGGGGAGTTGAGATGACCCCTCAGGGCCTCCCATCCCCCCACCCATCCGCCCACCAGACCGGCCGCCAGCCTGGCTGCTGCCAGCCCTCACCCCAGTTGCACACCACTGCGCAGCCCTCCGCGAACGTGTCCGCGTCCTGGCTGATGCCCTGATGGCCCTGCTGCTGTTGCTGCTGTTGTTGTTGTTGCTCTGCGGCTGCCGTGAGCAAGGACAGCGCCGCGGCCGCCAGCTGGTGGGTTAGTTCCAAGGAGGGGGTCACGGCCGCCGGGCCGCACTGCTCCACCGCCTGCAGGTGAAGGCGATACGGTTGGGAAGCATATTGGGTTCTATACTCAAGGTTTAACATGCATACATGCACACGCACACACAGATAAAGAGAAGCCAGCTCTTATTCGCCAAATCTGCATGTTGGTGTTATAATATTAATTGCTTCAATAATATAAATAATACAAAATCAAAAGCTAATAATAATAAAATAATATAAATCAAAAGCTAATAATAATAAAATATTATAAGATCAAAAGCTAATGTCATAATCTTCGCCTAGATAATCAAGGACCGCACCGGTAGGTACAGGCTTTCAACACCCTTTGCCCCAACCGACTCAAAACACACACACAACTACACCCGTACATCCGTACGTACCATGCTGTACAGGTTCGTCGCCATTGCGATTCCCGCCCAGGGCAACGTCCTGGACACCATCACCGCCCGCGCCTCTGGGCTGACATGCCCAGCCCGCTGCAGCAAGGCCAGACACAGCAACACAGCACCGGCGGCGGCTGCAGGGGCTCGTGTTGACGCTGTGGGCGATGCTGCAGCCGCGCCCAAAGATGGTGCTGCCGCCGAAGCCACCCCGCGGCCCTTTAGCCCCCCCTGCAATTCCCCCTGAGCCAGGGCTTCTAACTTTGCGAGTCGTGCCTGCGATCACAGCAATAAGTGAAGCATTGGCCATCCCAACAGTATCGCAATAAGTGAGACAGGCGCATCGTGCGGGAAAATGAAGCAGGTATTTTGTCATTCTCGCGTGTTATCTGGTTCTGGGATAATGGTTTGGCAACGACCTGGTGGGAAGTAAGGTTTTAGGCAGTAAGGTTTAGGACAAGGGTTAAGGTTGCTTGGATGGAGGTGCTCAGCAACCAACGGGCGTGTGCTGGACTTGTTGCTCTTAGATTGTCTTGTTTCCATTGCCTTCCGCATCTTAACCTCGACCATGCTCGAGCTTGCTCAGACCGTTCCCAAGGGACCTCAACTAAACTATGCACGAGGTGCCTCGAGACCGACGCAACCCAACCACTAGCCACACACCTCGAGCTGCTGCGGGCTGGCGGGAAGCGCCACCATTCCAAGGCCGTCGCCGCCAACATCCGCCTCCTGGGCATCAAGTACGACAGCGAGCAGTGATGCCATCTTGCAGGCGATAGCCGAGTCCAAGTCGCGAGCCATTTGTGCCTGCAGCTGCTGCTGTTGAGAGGGTGGTGGCAGCGGTGGCTGGCTGGGATGATGATGTCCGTTGGCAGCAGCAGCGGCAGCGACAGCGGCGGAGCCAGCGGCAGCCATACGGCCGTACACCTCAGCTGTGGCGGACGCGAAATCATCCCAGCACGCCGCTGCGGCGGCGGGATGCGTTTGTGTGACGCGAGCAGCATGTTGCAGCCAGAAGCGCGACACCTGAAAACACCAGGGGCACAAAACAGAACACGATCACCGTCTGGTTAGTGCCACACCATGTCAGGAAAAAGAAATGGAGGCCGTACAGGAATCGAAGCAGTCCAAAAATGAAGGCAGTGAAGAAATTTCGTATAGGCACGGTTTGGAACCCCTGCATGCAGGCACGCATGCGCCCTTCCTTCAAATCTGCAGCAACCTGGCATTAACTAGCGAGTTAGGAGACCAGAAGGTAGGGACAGTTACTTCGGCTCACAGCCTTCTCAGAGCCCAAACCCAACACCAGACCGGAGGCACTTGCCTTAAGTCGCGTCTCGTAGTCGCCAGGCGGACTGGTCGTCATGGCCCGCACCTCGGCCGTCAAGTAGCCCAGAAGGGCTCTCAGTACGGACTGTACGGCACAACCTGGTGAGCACCACCGTGGCGACGGCGGCAGCCAGGAGAGGTAGCAACAGTAGCAACAGCAGCAGTGGCAGCACCGCCATCATCCGACAGTCCCCCCCATTGTGGTCGCCGATAGTAGCGCCCCAAGGCCAAGCCGGGCAAGGAGGGCCGCGTAACGACACCAAAGCCTCAAAACCCATATCATCCTGACCGGCACAATTTCCACAATACCCCCCTGGCTTGACCGCTATCCGCTTCCCCCTTTCAATCTGAACCTCCAGCCCCGGGTCGCACCGTTGAGTAGTTGGTGCAGAGCCTCCTGCGGCAGGCTAGTCATGACGCGCGACAGCCCCGTCCACAGGATGTTGAGGCCCGCGAAGGAGCGCATCTCCCGGGGGACCGTCGGGTCGTTGATACGCTCCGCAGAGGTGGTACCTGTGTGCGTGTGGGCATGTGGGCATGTGGGCATGTGCATGTGGGGCACGAGCAGTGGCGGAAAGTGGCTGTGTAAGGGACACGCCGGCGCCCACGACCGAGCAAGCTGGTCCGCACAGGCCACGGAAATGCCTCACGAAATGCGAACCAGGAAAGGAACCTGGAGAAAAAAGCGGAAACAGAAAGGAGGCGCAGAGCGGAACAGAGCAGTGGTGGCGCATGCAGCAGATGCGGAGCGCCCCTGGGTGCCCGGACGCTCACCAAGGTGGCGGAGCCCGTCGAACAGAGCGCCAAACAGCGCCCGACACGCCTCCAGGAGCTCCTCTCCGGTCGGGGCTCCGCACGCCAGCTGCTGCTCCACGACTGGGAACGCAGGGCAGGAAAAAGGGAAACGTTAAAGAAGATATGAAGCAGAGAGGAACGTAGCAGGAACGTCCTGGTGTACGACAAAACCCAAATGCGACATCGTCTGTGAGGCTTCCCAGCCGACCCAGGTGGCCATTCCTGTAAACGTTGGTCGTCTTTGGAGGTCCCCCATGCATAGGCGGCCAGTCAACGGGAGCACGCCAGGAACGTCGCCGAACAGACTTCCGCCTCTCCCTCTCCCCTCTCCCCATCCCTCGCCGCAAACAGTAACTCACAAAACCCAGATCCACATCCACACCCGCGCACCCCGCCAGCAGGCTTCCGTTGCGTCCAGAGCCACAGGCGCCAGATCTCGCACGTAGCTCCGGACTGCATTGCCCGTCTGCACGTAGCAAGAAGGACCGAGCTGATGGTACCACCTGATACAGTGTATGTAAGCATGTGTGTTTGTTTATTTGTATGTTTGTGTGTGTGTGTGTGTGTGTTTGTGAGAGATACGAGGGAGAAGAGCCGACTCGATACAGTGGCAAGTCGGGGGTTACATAATGAAAGCAAAGAGCAACCAGACGTGTGGTATGGAATTACCAGTCTTTGTAAGCTAAAAGACATATACGAAATGTGCCACAGCGGACTCAAGCGTGCATGGCGCGTATCCTTAGAGATCAGGCCAACTGGAAACCCCACATGGGTAACGGTGAAAGCGTTAGGCAACTTTGCTATCCCTCAAGGCCAATAAATTATCGCAATTATCGCAATTAAAACGTACTTAGGAGAAAAGAAGGCGTGTGATGCAAGGTTCAGAGCAGCGGCAACAAAGTCTTTGAGGCTGGCGCAAGTTTCCGGCGAGGACGCAGCAATGGCTGCAACACCTCCCTGGGCCATCCAGGAGACCATCACGCTTGCCAGCCTGACGCAATCCTGCATCCAAATAAAATGCGTTCTAAGCGCGGCTGCAAGCATCTCCGCCTGAGCGAACCACCATAGAAGCGACAGCTGCTTGAAACCGAAGTCCATGCCGCAAAAATGCGCAACACCTCCTCACCTGCATCGCGTTCTCCGGCATATCCAAATAGTCGGATGCGACCTGCCCGCTGTTGGCGTTGTGTAGCACGGACGCCAGCAAGCCAAGGAGCTCCGCTGCGTTGCCGAGGTCCGCCGACGCTGGATCCAAAGATCGCAGGCGTTCCTCAAGTACATGCAATAGACCAGGATGTAAAGTACGAGACTCGCATTCCAAGGAGCTCAGGAGTGGTAGTGCATGCTGACTTGTTTCCATGTTTGCAGCTGTTTATGGGGCGTCCTAGTCGTGTCCGCTTTTCGCAGAAACAAATTGACGTCGCAAAAGTCCGATGTAACACGGGAAGTTCTAAATCGAACTGTATCTGCTTTCCTTCGCATGTTGCTTTTCACCCGCCATCATCGTACTGGTTTCGGTTCTTTCCGTTTGCTTTCGAGGTGCATGCATAGTATTGCATACATCGTCTGCTTGAGTGTTCGTAGTGTAAAGCCATCGGTAGTTCGTAAGACTTTTACAAGCTCGAAACTTTACATTATCTGTATATGCCTCAGCCTTCTACACACATATTCTCTGATACACACATGATCGCCCGATCCTTGCCCGTCAAGCGCCTGGCTCAGAGCAGCCATTGCGGAGTCAAAGCCCACCCCGCACGCACGACAATCCCCTCTCCACACGCGAACCAGCAATTAAGCGAGTTTGCACACAAATGAAAGTATCAAAGCCCCGCCGCTCCAATCTTCACTAGCAACCTAAGGGCTTCCCGTGTCATCGAAAAGCCAAAAAACACCACAACAAGCTCCTCTCCCCCACGCCTCCCCCTAAAATTCCCAGGGCGGAGTCACTCGATCTCTCAGTGAATTTACTTATTCGGCTCGAACTTAATGCTGACGCTGTTGACGCAGTGCCGCTGATTGGTGGGAGTCGGGAAGCCCTGCGGCGGAGCAACAAGCACAAGCCGCAGTCCCATGAACACATACACATCATGTGCACATAAATTGACGGAAGCACCGCACATACCATGCCCATGACCATGCATGTAGCGAGACGGAGCATTGCCGCCCATACGCTACTCGGGACTGGACCCTTACTACGCCCCAAGCATCAACCCTCACCCTTTTTCAACCCTTTCGTTTTCGGCATCAGATCCAATCACCAAAGCCGCAACAAACAAGAGACGTGTGTTTTGACAAGTATCCCCTTAACCCCGGGTCATCATGCAAGCCCATGGAAAACTAGATATTGGACGTGGAAGGTGCCTACCCTACTCCTAGGAAAGAGCCCTGGAGCCCGCCGCCTCACCTCGCCCTCGAACACGTGCCCCAGGTGCCCGCCGCAGTTGGCGCACGTGATCTCCACACGCCGCATGCCGTACGAATTGTCAACGTGGCGCTCCACGGCACCTGGGATCTCGTCGTAGAAGGCTGGCCAGCCGCAACCGGAGTTGAACTTCGTCTCCGATCTGGGTTGCAACAGAAAATGGGCACGCGGCCCCAGGCACACAGATATCAGGACAGAGAAACCCACACGTGAAACCCCGATGGAGTCCTCCGGCCGGCGCGCCCAGACAAATGCGTCGAACGTTTCCCTTGACAGTCAACAACAACTTTCATACTAACAGCACCTTTCATGCAAGAACAAGTTTGAGATTGTATTTGTTTGTGACAAGCGCAAACAACAACACCGGTTCGCCTTCCCCCAACATCTTCCAATCACGGTGGATCAGGGGCTCGCTCGACCTACTTGTACAGCGGTGTTCCGCATCCAGCGCACTTGTAGATGCCGTCCTGCAAAAAGCAAGAGAGGGGGAGGACCGCACCGTTACATGACGCCGTATCTTTTGCCATACACATTCACCAAGACGTTGCCAAGCAGGTCAGATGCACTTAGGTGCGGTAAAACTGCTCCGCAAATATGCACCCTCTAGAGGACTGCGCATTGCAGTGTGCATGGCTTCTGTTGTGGACCAACCGTCTGCAGGGGCCCTAGCCCACATTGTCATTGACCCTGCTGACCCATATATCGTGATAATATTCTCCCATGGCCCAGGTTTTTGAAACCAAACGAAGCCAAACTATCGCCACAGAAAAGCGTATCCAGGGTTTCCCAATGCAGGGTAAGCTGCTGCCGCGGCAGGGGTGCAACAGGGTTGGTGGGTGCTGGTTGGGAGTCCAAACCCCAACACGCGTACCTCATAGCACTTTAGGTACAGCCCCGTGCCAGCCCGCTCGGTGCCCTTCTGTCTCAGGATTGTGTACTGCGAAGCAGGTATCCCACACGAGCGACCAGGAGTTCAACGCGTCCGCTGACAGCACACGAGGGTAAGGTCATACATGAACAATATCTAACCATCATAGAATGCTTGAATTTCAGTAGAAGTCAACTTCGTTTACGAAGGCTGCCGAAGCACACTGCCACAAGCTTGCCAACCACCACACAAATCCAGCTTACCTCCTCAGCATTCAGGATCTCCTTCCAGACACTCTCCGGAGTGGTTTTATCCAGTTTAAGGCCCTCCTTATTTGTTGCCATTGTCCTTACGGGTCGCTGCCCCACGGCGTTCCGCCTGGAAGAAATCAACCGTGGGCTGGCAATGTTAAATGCTCGCAAGGAAAGCATGGCTGTGACGATGCGAAGTCGCAACTATGAATTGCGTGTAATTGAAAACTGCGACTCCGTTTTGGAAAGAACCTCGACAGTCGAGGATGGGGTGCCGTGCAGTGAGTTGGCATTGGACGAGTCGACGACAAGGACTCCCCAGACCTCTTCAGCCGGAGATATTTTACATCGTTTCACGCCGCGTCGTCGCCATCGTCAGTACATCTTTCCAGTTGTGTCTTCTGTTACTCCCAAGTTGATCGATTGTCATATTTCAAATAGGGACTTCTTGTGCGAAACAGTGACGATGAAATTAGAAATTTTGTCACGATCAGGACATATCATAGCCACTTTGGACGTTAATCCGGACGTGAGTTGAGAGCTTCTGCAGGATCTCGTGCGCAAAACGCCAACACCGTCCTCCCCTGGCCTATCTTATCTGCTAGGCCTCCGTCTCTGAGCTCAAGAAGAAGTTTTATGGCTTAAAACGAAAGTATTACCCGTCACGGCAGCGCTTCACGCTGCCGGTGAAGCCGGGCGAGAAGCGAGGCACAGTCCTGGAGGACAGCAAAAGGCTCAGTGATTATGGGTTGGCGGATGGCGGCAAACTAGAGTTCAAGGACCTTGGTCCCCAGGTGCGAACTCGCTGCGTTGTGCCTTTGCCTCCGCAGATGTCCCAGGGGTCGCAGGTGCACCGGGTTGCTCTGAAACCTAGAGACGGGGGAATCCCTTATTGCTCCTTGTATAATAATGTGATTTTGTCAAAAGCTTTCACACGGCCTTCAGGGTTTACCGGAATTGCGAAGCCTGCTTGATTTTAAACACAACTTCCACGCTGACACACCTTGGTGGGGTATCCTCTGACCTGCAGATCGGGTACTCAACTGTCTTCTTCTGGGAGTATTTTGGCCCCTTGGCGGTGTATCCACTGTTTTTCTTTCTTCCCAAGTACCTGTACCCGCACCTAGAGTGAGTGCTTCCGTTCGTTGGGGGAGCCCTCAGGCAGTAGGACTGATACCATCCCGTCCTGTGTTGGGACGGGAGGAGGGCGTAATGCTATAAAACTGATTATTAGAACACTGACTCTCCAAATTTTACTTCTCACAGTTGGAGCTTTCCTCGCGAAGGTTCAAGCTAGTTGGAAAAGTCTTGTCTGAATAAGAAGATGTGATTATTCCACGCCCCATTTCTCTCCAACGTGCACGACGCTTATGTACCGTCTTGCGGACGGGCTGTGGGGAAGCAGGCAGTCAAGCTCAAAATTCTGGTGACACTTTCCTTGGGAGATTAGCAACGGCACTGCTTTTGTCCGCTTGAGTGCCACTTTTGTTATCACCCGGAAGAACTAGTCATAAGAGTTACAAGTTACATGTTCCGCACAACGGCGTGGAGCTTACATAGACGTTTTGGGCCCACAAGACAGGGGTGCTTACTTTTGTCGTCCTTTCACCGTTTGCAGGGCGCCCCAACAGCACCATCTGGTCCAAAAGTTGGCTGTGGCATACTGGTGCTTCCACTACACCAAGCGCATCATTGAGACGTTCACTGTGCACAAGTATGTCGGGAAGCGCTGGGAAAAGGCACTGGGCTGGAGTGAGGGGAGTTAGGGGCTCGAATTCCGCTGGAGTGCCCTCGCCCTTGCTCGCGGATAGCTGCCGGATGTTTGCCTGGGGTGAAGGCACGCACTGAAAATGTGCACCGAATAGAGTTGAGTGGTTGCTTGGTTCTGCTCTCCCCATAGGTTCGGTCATGCCACGATGCCCATCTTCAACCTGTTCAAGAACTGTGCCTACTACTGGGGCTACGCCGCATATGTGTCTTACTTCGTCAACCATCCGAAGTACACGCCGCCTAACGAGAAGGTCAGCCTTACCTGTCTGGGCCTGGCGCTGCTCATGCAACTGGGCAACCTGCGGTAAGACGGGACAACACACGTACATGCATATGTTGACGACAAACATGTGTACCTATGCGGGCTGATTGGTTCACACAGGTGCACTTGGGAAAGGGGAAATGTAGGTTAGCAATGGCAGGTGCAGCACCGCGTGATGATGATGAGGGAATGCGGAAGAGCAACAAGGTGGGTTAGTCCCAGTGCAGCACCGCATGACTGGCCAGTGCGGCATGGCCGGGCTTCAAGCTCGGATGAGCGTGCGTTCACAGCTTCCTGATGTTTTGACTTCGTTATGCTTGCTGACTAATGGGTCATATGCTTCAGGTCGCACATCATCCTGTCGAACCTACGAAAGCCTGGAGAGAAAGACTACAAAATTCCCCGCGGCTTCCTGTTCAACTACGTAACGTGCGCCAACTATACGTTTGAGATCTGGGGCTGGCTGCTGTTCAGCGGTGCCGTACAGAGCATCCCCGCCTACCTATTTGCCATCACGGGCGCGCTGCAGATGATGCAGTGGGCGATTGCTAAGCACAAGCGCCTTGTCAAGGTGAGTTTGGATTAAGCTTGGGAAGTGGTTTGCTTACCTGGTTCGTAAGCAAGAGGATAACGAGGAGAATGGTCAGGAGTCTGGTCATAAACGTGGAATACACAGATAGTGTAGTATTGCGCCTTCCCAAGGCACCGAAGTCCCTTCTTTTGTAACTGGGATAACTGATTTAGCATCTGAAAGACCCTACAATTGCAAAGCATGTAGTAAATGTTGCTATTCGTGTTGCACACGCAACCCGGTTTGTAACTCCTGCAGACTTTCGATGGCAAGGACGGTCGGCCCAAGTACCCCCGCCGTTGGATCATCTTTCCACCGTTCATATAGTGGCCATGAGTGTTACGTACGGGCCGCGACTCGGGGAACATTTTTTGTGTGCTACTGGGGAAGACATGCGATTGGATTGTTGTGTCTTTAGGCAGTTCCCCTTCAAAGTCTGAGACTCGATGCAGCTGCAAACCAATCCTGGTGCGCATGTGCGTGGGAGGAGTTGCATATGGATTGTTGTAGTTGGATTTTGCTTGCTGTGTGTTGCCCGGTTTCAAATTGTCCTTTAGCCTAAAGCACATCGCAGTGCAGGGTTGAAAGTTGTCATATCGTGGATTGTACGTGCACCCCAAAACTTAGGTTTAGGCATTAGGGTTTTAGGAATTAACTTCCGACACGCAAGTCCATGGCCCCTGGGCTTTGATGGATGTCCCCCAATTCGTGCGGAATTTGTACGAAACTTGTAACCCCTTGGTATCCACACCATAGCAAATTGATATTGGCAGTAGCAGCAGCAGAATGGTGATAACGACAAAATAGATTTTGTCTAAGGTCGGGTATACCCTCTACAGTTGGAGGGGCGATAAATGTAATATCCTGGGCATATCACGGGATCTGCTTCCATATGGAGCCCTGATAGTACCGGGATAATTGCCAGGATAGATGATCCGTCACAAAAAGGCAAATGGGGGAGTGCAAATGGCGAAGTATAAGCACTGGATGGGGCTGCCCTTTCCGGGAGCCGCAGCCGTCATGTGGCCAACATATGCTAAGGTTTTCATTTCTCGTTTAGCACATCGTAAGCTAATGCAGTTTCGTTTATGTTGCTGGGTTCTGGAGGCAAACAGAGCACGAAGGGGCAAGTACCATGTCCCCAGGGGGCAGCGGTTTTGCCACTGTTGTGGTACTAATAGCCGAATCGAGGATGAAAAACACGTGTTATTGGAATGCACAGCTTACAATGGTATTCGTGCTGAAGAGGGATTCGATCATCAACAGAGCACGTTGGAGGCCATGAAATGGGAACCAGCACGGCTGGCAAGGATGTTGGAACGTATGTGGGCTCACCGAAACTCAGTTACCCCCTTTGGACGCTAGCCTGGGCTGATGTGCGGTGTTTTCCTTTCCTCCGTGGCTTTTAGGCGTTGTAGTATTGCCCTTGGGCCTTCGGCTCGTATGGGTTGTCTTACAGGTATGGGGTCACGCACCCCCAACCATGTAACACACACAAAAAAAAGGGACGTCAAAGAAGTGTCTGAACTCTGACGAAGCTAACAGCGCTTCGTGTAATATAACGGCACTAGTGCAAAGCTGAGGGAAAACGTTTTGACAACATTGGGACAGCAAAAACTGCCCAGATAGTTATGGTACACCATAAATGCCACCTTTCCAGCATGGATCCAGCTTCAAGGAGTAAGGCCAAGTTCACTTGGCTATGCTGCTTATGCTTAGGTTTAGGGACCTCAGGTCGCAAGGCAATATCTGGACCCTAGCTAGGCATCCGAAATCACCGATTACATGCTACACAAACTAAAAGAATCAGCTTGATTATCAGCTTGACTATCAGCTTGACTACTTTTACAGGTAGGTGTGCGCATGGTGGTGAATACCGCCTGTTGTGCTGGTGCACACGCACGTTGCTGCATGCAAGCCGACGGGAATAGCGATACCCCCCCTGTATCAGTGGCTCCTCTCCCGTACACATGGCCGTACTGTGCTGTGAGGGCTGCGAACGGCCCTAGCCTCGTGCATCATCCTTGTCCACTTTTTGCTTTACACTGGTCAGGTAGAAGAATCTTCGCCAGCCATGTCCTACTTGTTGCGAAGAAGGAAATCAACGGCTCCATCCAGAGCTCTCTCAGGCCCTCTCAGAACGGAAGAGTCAACTCCGTCAAGGCTGTGTTGCCCTGGCGAGCAGGGCGCCCAAGATGCACCGCATCTGCTCGTATGAGTGGGGCTGCGTAATTGATGCGACTGCTTGACCTGCACGAAGGACCTACACTTGCACCTTGCAACGCCACAAGCCTTAACGTTGCCGGGAACGGTCAGGTAACACCCAATCAAGCAAACGACCAAGCCCTCCTTATGACATGAGACCAGGGGTACCTGACGTTCCCACCTTGTTTGTTAAGTAGTACAAAAGCCGGTACGCGGGCTATCTGGTAATGGAGCAACTGCAACACGAGTGGAATGGGTTGAAGGGTTCAGGCACAGAGTCCGGTTGGAGATCTGCATCACGCATTAGATCTTGGGTACAATCACAGTACAAAAGTCTGTTTGGATTTGGACGAGAGCATGTCCTGAAGCTGGACAGGACACAGCCCCGCTGGGCACACATGCTGCCCAGCCTGTGCTGTGCTGGTGCCGTTCGAGTCTTGCCTCGTAAGTGGGCGGGCGTGAGGCACACAGGTCCTCTCTGAGGTGGCCGGGGGAGGTGTTATGGGGGCACCATCCATATCTGCGCCGCTGATAGAGCAAGTCATACGCGGACATTGAAGGTGCCTATTGCTACGACGAATCAAATTTGCAATGGTCGCAACGCTCTGTGGAACAGTCTTGCCGACTCTTGCAAACTTACCTCCGGCGCCCATTTTGCCTCATCACCAGCATCCACTTGCATTATGTCAACACAACGATTGTTTCCCTTCACCTGCGATTGCCATATGTGGAGAGGGCATCGTCCATCGCGTTCGCGAAGTTTGGTTTTATTCTGCGCACCTTTTGCAAATCGCCAATAAGGCGCTGACACAATGGACATGATCTTGAGCTAAAGAATAAAAGTGTGGGCAATTGCGGCTGGCCATTGTTTCCGGCTAGCATCCTCAGCGCTCGTCGGACTAACCCTAACCCTCCAATCGGCTTTTACTCAACTCTCGGCTCAAAATCACGCAGGCTGATTTCCTACATTAAACATGTGTTATGTTTGCGCTTTAGACGACGCCGTTTGGGCCGATGCCATTGTACGGCACATCATACAGGATTGTCTCTCTTTAAAGCGCACCCTGTTTGCTAATCAGAGCCATTTTGCATGCACTCCACGTATTACAAAACATCGTTATGCCGTACCAGGACCAACGGCAACCACCTGTGTTTGGGATGTAAGCTAGCCAGCATTCAGAATTTATGGCCAAAAAAGCATTTGGCCACGTAAGATAGGAACACCCTAGCCTGCGAGCTCTTGTTTTCCCGTGGTCGAAGGTTGAAGACCCAGAGGCTGTTGCTGACGCTAAACAAAGACCCCTGAATGCTGACCCATGTTTTCACCTGCTGCACCACCCAAAGCCATGTCTTGGTTACGCGCCAAAGCTGTCTCGATCACAGTAATGTTACGAGCAGTTGCCAAAGTGACTGTGGTCTGCTCGCGAAGTAGCTCCTCCTGCAACCGACCAATCTCCTGCACTATTTGCTGCCGTCGCCTCCAACGGGTGAAGAGGAGGACCTCCCAGTCCGGATGCCATTGTTCCAGATTTATCATCGCTGCTGCGTAATCCATATGGATGTCGTTGACCATGTCGTCATACATCCGCCGAGATGCTTCGTGTTCAGGCACGAGTGGCCTGGCGGCGGCCGCCAAGGCCTCCTGACGTGTGTGAGCTGCTGCTGACCTTTTTGCCATACAAATGTTCAAAATCAGCCTTTCTTGCGGCGATAGTGCAGCAGCTGTCGGGCTTTGCATTTCCCTTTCACCAACACTCTTATACGATTTTGCAGGATATCCACGGAGTTAGACATAGCGCGATTAACGAAACTTGGTACAAAACAGACCAAGGACATTGCGTCCGCCGGTAGGTAGGAAACCCAAATTAAAGCAAACAAAGTCCCCATCTCAGAACATACGAGTACGGCAATGACTCGGTTTTGACCCGGTTGGTGGAACAGGGTGGAATGTTCCACCGCCCCCCTAAACCGCTCGCCCGGCCGTCATGGCGATGGATTCAGGGCGATGACCTGATTCCACTTCGCCTTGCATTTTTTGATACAGTGCGATGGATGACGTACAACAAAGGTCACACTTCGCAAGAGAACATAAGCCTGCCAACTGGGAAGAGTCCAGCATTCTTAAATGGTGAAAAGGAATGTTGTGTATATCTTACCAAAATTCAACAACGAACGTTATCAATCTAATTTTCATCCCTAAAACCCTAAATACTATCATCAGTTGGCGGGCTTGTATTCTCTTGCCAAGGTTGACCTTCGTTGTACGTCATCCATCGCCCTGTATCCAGGGATCTAGCCAATACCGAAACGGAAACCTGCGGAAATAGGTTTCTTCCCGCTTTCCGCAGCCAGAGCCTAGAATGACGAAAGTGCGGAAAGAGTATCCGCATTTGAAATGTCAAAAACAGATTCCACGCCTGCGTTTGCCATATACATACGTGCGTTTAGTTCACTACTGATATTATTTAAACCCTAAATATCTGCAATTACTGCCCCCGACCTTGGGGCTGACGAAGTCGTAGAGATCGACTGTGTTTCAGCTCAAAGAAGGTGGAAGGCCTGCTACCGGCGTTTGGAAACATGTTGATAGAAGACATTATGACAAGAGCAAGAACTGCTCTGCAACCTGCAAACAACATCGGAGCGACCCGATCCAAGCGTCCCAATGCAATCCGTCAACATCAAGCACTATGGGGGAGGTCTACGATAAGGGTGCTCTGGCCTGGGGGATTTGGGATCGAAGAGAGGCAGAATGCTTGCAGATCCCACGAGACTGAACCGCTTTGCCAAGAGCGTGTTTGAGATTGTCCATATTATCGCAACACTGCAAAGAGCTAAAAACAGTTTTTTATAGACAATTATAGTTTTCGCAAGTTTCCGCAGGGGTTCCGGAAAGGGGTTCCCGAATACGAAATGTTTTCGCAGACCTGGTTAAGTTTCGGCTAGATCCCTGCCTGTATCAAAAAGTGCGAGGCGAAGTGAATCCAGGTTGTCACCCTGAATCCATCGGCCTGACGGGCGGGCGAGCCTAAACCGCATTTTTAATTAGGTCCTTCACTTCGTACACCTCATACATCTCGTCCAGCTTCCCACCTGGAATCAACAGCTTTCTGTGTTCTGTGTTCTGCTCTTTCTGAACAGGGCCACATCATATGGAGCTATTAGCTGCTCGTGGTTTTGCAAACGGACCATTTTTGTTCCTGTTGTCACGGGAAAAAAAAACATTGCTTTCCAACGTAGACTCTCATTCTATATTCGTCAAAGTTCTCCAAAGCAATCTTCAGGATGTCAAGGGTACCCTAGGGGTTTGTTACCTTACCTTCGGTGCGGCCCCTTTAAAAGTATGTGCAGCTGCATGGGGCTGCCCTGCAAGGGGCTGTCTCTGGGCTGATTTTCAGATTAGTTTTGTGCGGTCGAGTTTCCGGCCCATACAGTGTAGATTCTCATGTGAACAATACTTCGTATGGTTACGGAAATACAATATAGTGAATAGTCCAGGGCGCGGGCATAGTGGGCGCGGGGATATGATCCTACAACCGTTGAGTTGGTCACCCCTTACCGATGGACATACATGGACCGGAGAGCCCACCAGGAGTGGAATTGATGCCGCCATTGGTCCGACAGACTCCACTAGATGCTGGTGGTGAGTGCTGAACACGTAGAAGTTGCTCACTTTGCCGATATTGTCTTGATGAGGGTGTCCCAAAACAGATGGAAAGGTAGGGACTGCCAGGCTAGTGGTCTTGGGTGAAGCTATACTACCCTAGTTTACACCACCATATCTTTCGCCTTGGCCATGGTATCCCATAGTGCTGTGCATGCCTGACATGTCACAAACATGCATCCCTTATCACTTGCTTTGTGTAACACAGCAAAGGTGTAACCCGGGATTCTCAGATTGGCTTTTTGCGTCGTTACATTGCCCCCCACTTAGCAATGGACGTCCTCGGCCATTATTTCGAGCACAGGAGCCATCCCACCTCGCGCCAGTGCGCTGGTTTATCCATCACACCATAGAATCGCCATTTTGCGATCTACTAATTGCCAGAATTGAACCGCCGACCCGAAGTTTGTTACAGAAGTCGTGCAGTCCCGTCTCGATACTATTGTAACACAGCAAAGCGTAACCCAGGATTCTCAGATTGGCTTTTTGCGTCATTACACCTTGTTTGAAGTGTGAGGTAGGATGGTGCTTATAGGCGTTCTGGCTGCCAGATCCCTTGAGCCCTCGGCTCTTATTAGGGTGGTTTGCAGGTACGGGGAACACAACCACGACCATGTAACAACACACACAGCAACCATGTAAGGTACCGTTAAAAGTGAGAATACACACAGTAAGGCTGAGGTGCAAGGCCTTTACCCTTAGCAGCAGTTAGCTGCCTCATTGACGGCTAGGGTGTGGTGTACACCTAGGCATGTGATGTGTGCTCAAGTGGCAAAGACGAAGACCAACGAAGACCAAACGGGCCAGGAAGGATCAACGAAGAAGCCCCAGTCCAATCCAACAATTGCAATTGCACGAGTGCAATTGCACTCGTCCGTCCCTATGGCTCCTCATGGGGTTTTACAAAGCCGCAGCTGATGTGACTATGAGCTCCATTAATGGAGGCAGCCAAAGTTGTTTGTGCTCATACGATCTTTGTTAGCTACAGGCGAGATACCTTGCAATATAGAATGCTATATAGTACCGATAACGCGTTTCAGCCGGGCGAGATATTATGTTTGGTCCGTTACACACACACACACACACACACACACACACACACACACACACACACACACACACGGACATGGGCAATCCTACAGGTCGGGGCCCCCTGGGCGCTTCGTGCTGGGGCCCCGCCCAAAAATGGGCTGGAAGGAGGGAGAGGGTCTGGGCGGCAGCCAAAAGGGCGTCACAGCGCCCATTCGTGCGGCGCCCGTGGCGGCACTGGCAGCGGGTGAGGCTCGCGGCCTGGGCGCGGCTGCCCACGGTGAGGCGAACGCTGAAGACGACATGTACGAGGCTTACCGCAAGCGCATGATGCTGGGTAACAAGTACCGCCCCAACCCGCTGGGTAACCCCCGCCGTGCATACTACTGATGGCCGGGGGTGTGCATACGTAGGAGAGTGCGTGGAGACATGGGGAGGTGGAAAATTTGATTTTTAGAAATTTTAACAGCTTAAAATTTTACATTCGCCTTTACACTTTTAGAGAAGGCTTTGTACTTGTATCTAGTACCTAAGAATCACAATTATCTCATTTCATACCAGTCCTTCTTCTCCTGTCAAAGAATTATTAGTTGTTGCTTCAGAGACAAATGGCATTAGGGTTTTAGGTCCATGGCCCCTGGGCTTTGATGGACATGCCCCCAAAACACTGAAGAAACCCTCTGGTGGTTGTTCTGCGTGGTTGTGAGTTTGCGCAGTCATGTTTGGCTGGCTGATCAGCAGCAACAGCAGCAGAAGCAGCCGTAGCTCAAAAAACTATATCCAAAAGATGCGTTTATGTACACTTCACAGCTATTTGCTTCCGTACACATCACAGCTACCTAGCTACATAACATAACCACACGTCATGGCGCTTACTTAAGAAGGAGAAACACCACTTATGCCAAAACACATAGCAAAGTGTAGAAGAGCGCCACGTGTAATGCGTATGCGAACGCGTTACATACTATTAAGAGCTGCCATAGCAACACGGGAAAGACGTTTTCAGAACGGCACAGCACAGGGATCCCCAGGTGCAGGTCCTAGATAGGCTTCATGGCCGAGCCGTTCCCAACCAGGAAATCCGTCCTCGCCCCCACACCGCCCCATCTCCTCCTGTCCCTTCCTTCACCTGGCCCACTCCATCCTCCTTCCCTACCCATGGCAACTCCTGTCCCTTCCCTATGCCCAATTCCAATTGCTACGCCCGCAGCCGCCATCACTCCAGCGCCTCATGCCGTTACCATTGCAGCTGTTGCGTCCGCTGACCTACCATCCTCGGCGATCTGTCCTTTCCCCTCCGCTTCTGGCCATTTACTGCTGGTAGTGCCCTGGCCGCCTGATGATACAGCAGTAGCAGTAGCAGCAGTAGATGTTGCTACAGCTGGGGGGACCAGGTCACTGAGCGGTGTGTGCATCCGTACTCGCCGTACCGAGCGCCGGAGCTCCAGTTGGGCAGCCGCCGTCCGAGGGTGAAGCTCCGAAGTCAGCGGCCACCGAGGCTTCAGCTCGATCCACTCCGTCTCCACCCCCACCGCGGGCCCCACTCCCGCTCCCGCACCCAACCCCGAACCCGGACTGGTCCCTAACGCTTCTTGATTCCTCTCGGACCTGGAGCGGAATTCTGCTGCTGTGGTCTGTTCGTGCTCCGCCCCTATGACCCCCACTGGCTGTGACAATGACGGCGGCGGCGGCGGCGGCGGCGGGGGTTCCGCCCAGCCCTGCGCCAGGCGCTCAATGCCCGCCCAGGCTACCATAACGCCGTTGTCAGTGCACCAACGGGCCGGGGGCAAGACCAGCTCCAGGCCCTCAGACTCTGCGGGCACATGTGACAACGGTGTGGGCGGTGTGGGCAAACGGCATCAGGGGCCCGTGAGGTGAGCTCGACATCGTTTTCATTTATCCGCCTCGTATTCATTTTCTGCCCCGAAACATAATTGAACAGTTCTACTGCTTGCCAATTTGGCAAGTAAAAAACCTTAAAATCCTGGATTCGATCCTGGATTCGGTCAGAATTCACTGAAACACAATCGGATTCTGGATCCGGACTCACCAGCCAGCTGCTGCAGGCTCTTCCTCACCACCTGGTTGCACGCCACGCCGCCCGCAACCACCAGGTGCCGCAGCTCCGGAACCAGCTCCCGGGCCCAGCCCACTCCTCTGCGGGTTTTCTCCGTTAGGTGGGTCACCGCCACGAACTGGAACGACGCCGCAATGTCGGCCTTGACCTGGAGCTCGAGATGGATGGGGCCGGGATGGATGCAGGGATGAGGAGGACGATGGCGAGGAGACGATGAGGGACCAGGTCAGGTCGTGCCCGGGACATATGCCCCGGAAAAACACCATTCATAAGCCGTGCTCAGCTCGTAATGCATTACATTGTGGAATCGTGTTCAATCGTGTTCAAATCGTGCAGAAGAGGATATAAATTGTTTCAGATATTGTTTCACGTGCGCAACGTGTTCGTTCCATGACCCACATGGAGAAGGCCACGGAGCACCGCCCGTCACAACAGCGCACCTTGTTGACTTGATCCGGGGTCATCCAGGACGTCCGCTGGGGGTCGAGATGCTGCTCGATGGCGAGCCGGGTGTTGGTTTTCAAACCCGCAAAGGAAAAGTCGCAGGTGGCGTGCTTGCGCATGGGAACCGCGAACCTTGGGATGGCGGAAAAGAAAACCGTCGACACAGGCAAATGGGTCCTTAGGCAAGGAAGTAAAAAATGGGCAAGGAGCAAACAATCCTAAAAGCATACAAATTACTTCATATGAAAGGCATAGTGCACATTTATGAAGGAAGGCATGCGATCGTGCTCCGAAACCCTACCTAAACGCCCCCGGGTCGCCTTCACGGGCGAGAGCCTCCAGCGCCGCACCGCCGTGAGGTCGCAGCTCCAGGTTCAACAGCCGAGCGACCTTGTCGTACGCTTCGCCTGCCGTATACAAGGAAACGTACACACAAATCCCCATAATGGAGGGTTATTAAAAGGGCAGCCAGCAGAAGAGCTGACAGGCTAGGCCCGGCCCGGCCAAACCAGCAAACTTGCCACAGCAACAGCAGCAACAACAACAGCCCAGCAATAAGCAGCAACAGCTGGTGCAGGTGATTCACACCCCAAGGCGCCACGAAAAAATCGCTGAGATGGTCCCATGCCTACTCCAAGCCAACCCAACACAGCTAGCTGTCGTGTCACTAAGAACAAATAAACTGCACTTACGCCCCCTGGCTTGGGCCGCTTCTCTTTCACTTCTTAGCCCGCTGACCCACCCACTCCAAAGCGTGGGCGAACGTTCATATTACAATCGCATTACAACTGTGTGCACAGCTTTGCGGCCTTAGGCTGCTCGACAGTATCCCCCACTCCCTCACAGCACCGGTGCCCTCCCCAGCCCCGACGCTACCCACCCAGTGCATCGTCTACCGTCGTCCCCAGCTGCACATATTTTCCCACCCCGCGAACCAGCACCAGAAGGTTGTGGCCGCCAGATACCAGCAAGCAAAGAAAGGGAAAGGGCACCGCAGCGAAGTTACTGATGTCATCGCGCACCGCCGCGGTGTCGATACCCGCCGCGACTGCCGCCTGTGCAAGCGGCGGCACTGCTGCATGGCTGCAGGCGGGGGCAGCGGCAGCGGCAGCGCAGGGCTGGTGTTCATCATGTGTTGCGATTAGGATATGGCGTTGCTGCTGCTGCTGCTGCGGTGACGGCAGCGCAGCTGCCGAGCTCACAGACTCGCAGGTCGCTGCCGCAGCTGCTGCCGTCATAAGGGTGGCCGCCATCCGTACTGCCGGCGGCGCCGCCGCCGCCGCGGCCGGTGGGAGCCGCGATACGAGTGCATGAGCCTCCATGTGATGTACGGAGACCAGCGGGATGCCGTACTGGCGGGCCAGTTGCCGCGCCTTGGCGACGCCGACCTGCGGCGGTGGACAAGCGCCAAGGAGCCAACAGTCTCATCTTCTACTGGATCCAGGACACCCCTCCATGCTTACTGCTATTGCTGTGACCCTCTTTGGTCGGCATCACACACCATTTACCCCACAGCCCGCATAGCCCTTTCTTTCTCTCACCTTCCTCCTGTCTCTCATGGCCGCCCATTCAACGGACAACATTTCCATTTCCTCCCAACCCCGCAACTCAGTTTGACATTGTTGACACGCAAGCAAATACGTGAAGACATTTCTTCCTTTCACTCGCAGGTTGCGTGGACCCACAAATGCATGGCGGCACGTGCTGGGTGCGTGGTTGCCCGCAGGCCCACCACCATCACCACCACCGCTCGACACACAGGGGACAATAAGGCCCCATCACTCACCCGCAAGCACAGCCCCAGCCCTGGGCCGATGGTAACTGCCACAGCCGTCAGCTGTCGGGGCTCCAGTCCAGCCGCCGCTAGTGCGGCATCCACGGTCCGGTCGATAGCAGCCGCGTGTGCGTCACGAGCTAAATTGGGCACCACTCCACCTACATCCGCAGGAATACCGGCTTTAAGCTGGTTCACATCACATCTTTTGCACACGTCCGCTCCCCTAAAAAAACCTTGCCCACTGCTTTTCCGCTGTCTCCCTGTCGGCGCTGGGCTGCTCGGTGGGGGTCCTTGTTCGGGGCGGTTATGGAAGGAAACGTGGCTGCATGGAAGGAAACGCCCATGGGCCCTTGAAGTCGCAGCAAGGCAGCAGGCAGCAACTCACCCCACTGCGCGTGCACATGGGCCTGAGTGGCGATGGCCTCGCCCAGAACACGGCCGTCCGAGGCCACCACAGCCACCCCCGTGTCGTCACAGCTGCTTTCAATACCCAGGACCACTGCCGCTGGGGTTCGGGAGGCGGTGACGGCGGTGGTCGCTGCGGCAGCAGCGGCATGGGAATCCGGTGGTGTTGACAGGAGGGCTGAGGACTCGGAGGGTCCTACGACTCCAAGGGTGGAGACTGCGGGTGTGCTGGCGCCGGGGAGAGCGTCCGCGGCAGATGCGGAGTTGCAGGTAGCCACGCCGCGGGCTGTGTGAAGGGACCGCTGTAAGCAGGCAGTGGAGACGGGTAACGGCCACGCAGAGTGCGTGGGGTGTCCGAGATCCTCTGCGGGGAGGAGATGTTTGAGGTGGGGAAGTGGTCTTGCCGCGGCGTGAGGTTGGGCGTACCATCTGCCATAAATGTCCAAACTTAGACAGCAAAGACTTACTGTTTATTCCAAATCTCCATGCAACTGTATTCAATTTCATGTGCCGAATCTTGCACACCGTGTATTGGACTTGGCATCGACGCCCGGAAGCAAAATTTGCTGGGCAAACCATTTACGCCGAGATTCCACCAAACCAACCAAATCAGGTGAAATCTAAGACCTTGCAGATTTTACTATGCATAGAAATATATTCATCCATGTCTGAGCATGAGCAAAGGTGCATTCGCAAACGTATGCTTGGCGGCTATAATGTATGAATGAGCGGATGCGTCCTGCCCAAAACTCTGGGCAAAGGACGGGCGATTATTGCAGCATCAAATTTATATGACGCAAATTGTGGCATTTGCTTGATGGTTGCGCCAAGTACGTGCACTTGCACGAACGATAACTAACCAGCATTACGCAGCATAAGCTACAATCTTTTCACATATTTCTTGTATCATGAAAGCTCGTGTTATACAAAGTAGTTTTTTTTAGATTAATAGGATAGAGAACGCATTTTTCCCGGGTGGGCAGCCAACACAGCCTGCTGTCGGCAGCCACCGACTGCCGTGGCCCGCGATCACATGATTGAGTCGCTGTAGCTTAACCCAAACAAAAGAGCTGCTTCTGGGTTGATAACAAATGTTATCCGCCTTTATACTTGAAAACGCTGCTTGTGAGTATGCTGCAATCGTTTTATTTAGGAAGACCACACCCAATATGCTTTGTATATTATACAATATGGTGGACTTTACAGTGGATGTCTCGCTCTGCCGTGGTCCTTGATCAATGCTTTCGGCACAGAAGCTGTGATCTGATTGTGTCGCGCACCTCTTACCAGGGAAGACTCAATCCACTCGTTGCAATGTAGGTTCCCGAGCGGCTAGCGGATCTGCTTGCGGCGCTCTTGCGCACCTCTTCCATGCTGTACATCCACAGCAGCTTACATCGCAGCCGTGCCGTACTGTTACAAGCCTAGCCCACTGTGGGCCGTCTCCCGCTGAAGATGCGGCAGAGACAGCCCAGCCGTGTTGCAGCATCAGCGCCTGCAGTGGCTGCGGGGACCAGGCCGGCATCTCGTCTGGTAATCTCGGAGCTGGAATATTTCAAGGCACGCTCTGGCACAGCCTCCCTATCCTGTTGCAGGAACGGCATAAACTTGCTCCCCAGCTACAGCCGGCGCTATTCTATCGGGGCATCTCTACTACGTCAAACACACTGTACAAGTGAGGTCGCCGGCATGGTTTTGTGGCGGTTATGGGATATATGCTGGTCCATGCATACACACATGGACACAGCCTGAGTGGGGAGCAGAGGCTACTGTCCAAGGGATCGTGCAAAACCATCTTTTGCGTCGGAGATCTGCCTTACCTCCACGCGACCTCCGGCCTTGCTGACCCTGGTCCCAGGTTCGATTCCCACCTAACTCGCTACAACAAGGCAAAAGTGGTCAACAGAGACAATTTTCAGGTAATGCGAATGAGGACTGCAGAGTTACGAAAGCGCACTGCAACGGAGGCAGAGAGAAGCGTCCGAGGGTTGCTAAGTTACAAGTTCATAGAAGCGTGTGTAAAAGCCTGAGGGGCCCCCATGGGCGGTCTATTACCATTATTGTGGCGCCGAGTGGGGACATTGTCGTCCTCCTCCGCTCGCCTGAGCTCGACCTGCGCCTTAGCAAACTGCTACAGACACGGAGAAAAGTGAACATACAAGCGAAACCTAACCCCTTGTAACGTTGGCCCCATATGCACACGCCCATCCCGCACAGCGCTTTCGCGACAGTGGTCGGGATGCGCGGGTAGCTGCGGACATTCTGCGCGAAGGCGAACACCAGGAGCGGCGGGGTAGTGGTGGCGGTTGGGGCCGCGGAGGGAGGAGTCGCAGCGAGGCGGATGAAGCGCTGTTGGAGCTGCGGTCCATGGTGCACGACTGCCGGGACCTACGAGCGATGCAGGTGGGTTGTGAGGGTGGAGGAGGGGCGGTGAGTGAGGGGAAGGATGGGGGGGAGGGGGAGACGCGTGGCTGGAAGTCGAGCAGGTGGGAAGGAACCGCCTTCCCATGCAGGCACACTGAAGCACTGATCCCGCCACGAATGTCCCCAGTGAGGACGGGGGTACAAAACGTGAGGAGACCTGATTATTTCCACCAAGGCAAAAGGCGCTGCGGTGCGGTGCGGTGCCGGTTGATGGGCCTATGAGATGCAGGTGCTTCCGGAGAGAGGGCTTAGGGTACAAAACGGGGGAGAAACAATAAGGAGCTTTATGAAGCAGGAGATAGTGGAGGATTGGCTGGGCCTTATGGGGTACAGGGGGCGGGGGGTCTTAGGGTGCTGGTCGAGGAAGGAGTCATGTCTGGTACACAGCTTAATGAATCGGGCTACGTTCTCGCTTGCAGCCTTTGCGCACACATGCCATGCAGTGGCGGTGAGGGCGATAGATGTGAATGTTGTTGTGGGGTGTAGGGTAATGACGAGAAAGGCATTACGATGGCCCGCGGCACTGCTCCTGCTGCTGCTGCTGCTCCTGTTGCTGTTATTGCTGCTGACTGTGTCGTTGTCCCACTCCTGCCTCTGTGTGTGTGTGTGTGTGCATGTGTGTGGCAGGTGTTGGTCCGCGAATGTGCCAACGACCTGGACATCTACATGGTGTGCAGCGTGCTGGGCAGGCTGCCACAACTGAAGCGGGTGTGGAGCGGGAGGGAGGGAAGGGGAGGGACCTGGCTCCTGGGTTGGATACGTACGTATGTACGTGCGTGCGTATGCATGTATGTACGCAATCATGTATGTATGCATGTATGTATGCATGTATGTATGCATGTGAGATGGAGAAGTTGAAAGCAGAGCAGTGCTCTTTTAGAACCTTCTCTCGGCCCGAAAGCTGCCACATGCGTGTTTTGACTCACGTGGTTTTGGCTCCCCTCGCATGTGTAGTAAAGTTGTGATGAAGCCCTCTTCCCGGCTGCACCACCGCGACCCCTTCGCCTTCGCCTCCCCTCCTTACCGTCTCCCCTCCCTACCCCCTACCCTCCTTACCGTCTCCCTTCCTTACCCCCTCCCCTCCTTACCCCCTCCCTTCCTTACCCTCGCCCCGCGCCGAAGGACACCCCTGAGGCAGCGGCTCCCGAGGCCCTGGCACGTCGTGTGGCCGAGATGCTGGTGACACGCCTGGAGGTGAGGTCGTCCCTACCTTGGCACCCGACCACGTGCATTTGCCTTCCTGTCTGTCTGTCTGTCTGTCTGTTTTCCGGCCGGCTGGCCAGCAAGAAGCCAACATGCGCCTAGTGATGATGGTTCACGCGCTCATCCTGTTGAGCCTCCCCACCCCTCTACACACATACGCACGCACGCATCTTCCCCCGGCGACGACGGGTGTCCTCCTCTCAGGTCCTGTGTGTTTCCGTTTATCTTCCTTTCCTCACCTGACCACCACTGTTTTCCCTTGGCCTTTGCATGTATCAACCCCCCGCACGTGTCCCGCCCGCAAATTGCGAAGTAACAATGACCTCAGAAACGACAGAATTCCATTCAACATCATTACATGAACTACTACTACTACTACTACTACTACTACTTCTCAGCTACGCATTTCCCTACAACCCTTCTCCCCCACAAAACACAGCCCCTCATCCCGAACAGCGCCCCATCCAACCTGGCTCACGCGCTAGTCGGCCTCGCCACGTGCGGTCTGGTGCCGCCGCGGTCGCTGCTGACGGCAGTGGCCTCGCGCCTGGCCGCTGCCGGACCCCACGGCGGTTCCGCTGCGGCGGAGGCGGACGCCAAGGCGGTCTCCAAGCTCCTGTCTGCGACGGCCAAGTTGATGGAGTTGGCAAAGCAACAGCAGGGACCGCAACGGCCAGCTGCTTCTACTACTACTGGTGTTGCTACGGGGGGGAATGATGCTGATGATGGCGATGTTGGCAAGGGGCAGGGGGAGGGAGAAGAAGTAGGGGGTGTGGGGGAGGTGCTGCGGTCGCGGCTGTGGCCATTGCTGCGGGCGGCTGCCGAGGTGAAGCTGCTGCGGGCTCTGGGAGAGGAGCCTCCTGGCGGGGGCGCTGGAACGCTGCGTCGGCGCCATGGTGGGGTGGAGGAGGTGGAGGACGATTCGATGCCCCAGGTGCGGGGCCGTGTGGGGCCAGAGAGGGGTTTCGCTTGTGGATTTTGCTTGCCGGTGAATGTATGGGTGTAGATGGGTGGGGAGAAGGGGTTGGGAATTAAGAAAAAAAATTGAGAGGATGGGTTTGCGGGTTGAGCGATGGGGTTTGGCTGCGATAGAGGAGAATGAAGTAGGACGCGCCTCATGCTGCCCTTACTCTTGCATGATCGTCACCGCCTGCGATGTTATGCTCCTACATCCCCCTGTCCTCACTCAATTTGTTCTTGACACATCCTCGACAATGGCACGGCCCGTAAGCTACCAGCACCCGGGGTTCCTTGCCCGCTCCTGCCCGTTGTTCCCTGCTCTGCAATATACTTGTCCTTGTGTGTGTTTGCCCATGGAATATGTGGGCTCGCGTGGCCTGTGCCCCTACAGACCGCCCTTCGTTTCATTTGCATGTCTCTGGCGCTGGCGCGGGAGACACATCCCGGCACCTGGACCGCAGCTGGGCGCTTGGCGGCGCGCCATGCGGCGGAGCTGCAGCCCGCCGTCGCCGCCAGCGTCCTCCGGTCGTACGCCATGGCCGGTGGCGCATCGGTCGACGGCGGCAAGGCGCGGCTAATGGAGGCGGTGTGGGATGCGTTGGGTCGGCAGGTTGAGGGCCTTGAGGTGTCGACTCAGCTAGACTTACTGATTGCCGCGCTGAAGTTGGCGGCGGCGAAGGACGCTGGTAGCGGCGGCGCCGCCGCCCAAGCGAGCGCCGCGGCCAAGGCGGTGCCGGTGCTATGCGGTCTGCTGACGGCTCGGGTTCCCGCTCTCAACGCATCAGACGCTTCCCATCTGATCATCGCATTGGCAGAGCTGCACACGAAGACCGTGGCGGCGGCGGCGGCGGCAGCAGCAGCCGCAACAGCAGGTAGCGCCAAGACGGCGGCGACGCCAACTGCATGGCAGAGGCACTCGTACGGCACATTGCCAAGGCTCTTGGCGGATCTGTTGGTGTTACGCGGTGTTTCTGGTTTCGGAGCGTCCAAGTTTGCCTCAGCAGCGCTGGGGTTGGGCCTGATGGGCTATGCAGACCCAGCCTTCTGGCAGCAGGTGTCGTCGTCGGCGGCGCCGGAGGTGCCGCGCATGGACGGCACGACGCTGAGCCGATTGCTAGGTGCATTCCACAACGCCGCCTTGGCGGCGGAGGCGGCGGAAACCGGTGGAAGCCCCGGTGCCGCCGGCGTTGCGGTCGTACCGGGACCGGCGCTGTTGGCGGCGGCACACGCACGCATTCGGTCGCTATTGGATTGCGGCGAGGCGCCTCTCCTTACCGGCAAGGCGCTGTTCCACCTGGTTCGTGCAGTGGCGGAATGGCCATTGCCAGAGGACGGCGGCTTGGCAATGCTCCGCGCGCTGTCGGACAAGCTGCTCGCGGATGATACAACTGTCGCCACTGGGGAGGTGGCGACGGCGCCGGCGGCGGTACGGCAGCGGCTGGTGGCGGCGCTGCGGCGTGCCGGTCTGGGCGAGCATACGCTGGTCACGCGGCTGGCCAGCAGCGTAGGGCAATAACACGCTAGAGCTGGTTTTGTCGGGGGAATAGGGCTTACATAACGACATTAAAACAGTGGACGTGGGGAACCGACAATTGTGGGGAGGGATAATTGATGGAACGCGGCCGAGGGCTACGCATGTTAAGACTACAGCTTTGTTTTTTGATAACGGTGGCATCGACGAAATGTTTCATTCACGCAGTGGCAGCGCTGTTGAAGAGGAAAATCATAAACACCACGCGTCGCAGCTCTCAGGCTGCAAAACATGTCGATGCCGATCGAGTCAAAGATCGACGACGAAAAGAAAAACCGGGTTATTGTGACCCGGAGCAGTTTGGCATAACACTGGGCTGTCAGAACAAACACATACGAAGACCTCACTCGTGCGGAAAGGACTAGTAGTTTGTTAGGCTGATATTTTCTTATCCTGGCTATGTATGGCTAGGTGCAAAATGCATTCCGTCTGCTCCATCGGAACGGCGGTGCCCTCAGCAACGTACGTAGAGTTTGCCTACGTTGTGCGTGCACTTCAGGTTCCATTTTACATCTACATCTCAGCACCATCACCACCAGCACAGCATCGTCCGCTTCCTAGATGGCGATACGCAGGGCGCACATCAATCGCTTCCGCACGCCTAGGGGTGGGTATCCCCTACGCGACTTGGACTCGTACTTCTTGCCTACAACCGTCAAGCCGTCATCACGCCCGTGTACGACATACCGTAACGTCAAGTTGGGGTCAGCATACACATCGTGAATAATATCAATGGGACCTGCAGAAGGTCGAATCCAGACGACGCCCCTTTCGCTTCCTGTCGCTTTTACAGACACATTGACGAAACTTGTTTAACGCACAACACACAACGCTGAAGCATGAATGAACAGGATTTTTCACAATGACGCGTCATACAGAGGCATGTACACTCATCAGTCAAATCCCAGCCTGTTATATCGGCATCACCTTCCGGGATGACCTCACCCCGGCAGGTCGTCAGCTCAAGCAGGCTCGGAACGCGCAGTTCCTGCGGCTGCGTGACGAGGGCCGCAAACCCAAGTGGCTGGGCCCGTACATCGAGTACCAGCGCACCGACGGCATGTACTACATGGTCTCCAAGTACGACGTGTCCGACGTTCCGCCCCCCCCGCCCCAGCCCCCGGCCGGGAACGGGGCTGCGGCGGGCACAAGCGATGGACGCGTGACCACAGAGGGTGCTGGCGAGGGGAGCGCCGCCTAGAGTGCTATGAGTCGTGAGGCTAAAGACATCAGGGTCTTGCTTTGGAACGTGTGGGGTTTGTCGGTAGCTAAGCTCACCGACCCATCTTTCCTCCGCATTGCCCAGGACCACGATGTGCTAGTATTTACGGAAACACACTGTTCGGCGCAGGCCGGGAAGCCGGCCAAGGCCCTGGCCCTGCCAGGGTTTCAACTGCATGTAGCTGAGCGAGCCTGTAGAGGCGGAGCCGGGCCCCAGACGGGCCGGCTGCACGGGGGTGTGTCTGTTTATATCCGGGACGCGATTGCCCGGGATGTCACTTTGTTGAGGGTTGACACGGATATTGCGGGCTGCGAGTCTATTTGGTTGCGTTTGGGCGGCAAGCAAACAGGTCAGGATAGCACCCTGGTGGGTGCATGCTACTTCTCCCCCAGGGCGTCGGTGGTACACCACGCGTCCCTGAGGGCACACGAGTCTGACGGACAAGCAGCAGACGAAGTGTTTGATCATCTGGCCACCGTCGTGGGCGCCCTCCGCCAGTCGGGTGAGAGGATCCTGCTTCTGGGGGATTGGAACGCGCGCGTGGGGGGGCTGCCCAACCACCTCTCCGACATCCCGGACCTAGACTATCTTGACGATTTAGGAGAGGAGGTCGGGTGCCCTTTTGTGGACGGCGAGGCATACAGAGCACTGCTGGGTGTGCCCCGCCGGTCGCTAGATCAGGAGCATAATGCGTTTGGACGTAAACTGCTCGAGTTGTGCCGGGTTTCAGAGGTTGTCATTCTCAATGGGCGGGCACCGGGTGACACTGAGGGCAGGCTCACATACGAGTCCAGCCGGGGGGGAGGCAGCATGATTGACCTTGTGCTTGCGTCCCCTTCTTTGTACCCGTGCGTGCGTTCCTTCCGTGTCCTGCCACAGCAATCTTTTTACCGTGAAGAACGCCGCTTGAGTGATCATAACCCCGTGTCCCTTCACCTCGCGTCGGTTTGGAGGCCGGACCGGCCACCCACGCGTAAACCCAAGCCGACGTTTCTTGTCTCTGAGGCGCACAGGTACACAGACATGTTCTACAACCCGGAGGCCCCCCCTGTGGTTGGTGTCCGGGCGGTTGTGGATTCCCTGCGTGCTGGCCAGATTGGTGTCACCCAGGCGGTGGACACTATCGAACGGATTTTGCTGGGTTGCTTCGGTGATGCCTTCAGGCCCGGGCCGGTTTCTAACGGCAAGGCGGCGTGGTGGAATGATGAGTGTGCTGCGGCTAAGCAGGCCATGTTGCAGTATCGGTCTGATGTGATGAAGTGGGGGTGTGCTGCCCCGGCTATGGGGCATACGAGTTTTCAAGAGTTACGTCGTCAGTTTAATCGTGCTAAGCGTAACGCGCGACGGGATCACCGGCTGCGAGCCTTGGAGTCATTCATAGCTACATGCAAACGGGATGCGAAGACCCTATGGCAACGTCTGAACGGTAAGCCAGCGTCCAGATGCAATGTGGAAGACGTGTCGGAGTGGACGGACTACTTCGATCGCCTTTATAATGCCTCAGCCTCCTTCGATGAGGTGCAGGAGGCCCGTGTCTGTGCCATTCTCAACTGTATCAATCTCGGTGCGGGCTCCCAAGTCGGGGCGGCGTGGCGTGATTCCGAACCGGTGCATGCTAGACGGTCTATGGCCGACACTATGAATGGTCCGTTCACTCTTGAAGAGGTTGAGGCGGCTTTGTCGTCCCTGTCTAATGGGCGTTCCCCGGGTCTGGGTATGGTTCCGGCCGAGTGCTACAAGTATGCCAAGCGAATCCCTCGTGAAGGTGACGAGGACAGGGTGTCTGTCAATGTTATTGCCCCTGCGATTCGAGACCTTTTCCAGCACATTTGGGATACAGGGGATGTGCCTGACCAGTTTTGCGTGGCGTCTCTCAGTCCGTTATTTAAGAAAGGCGACCCCAGGGTCAAGGACAACTACAGGGGTCTAGCTGTGGGATGCGCCATTGCCAAATGCTATGCCACGGTTCTCGACAGGCGGCTGGCAGCTT